AACTGCACCGTATTGGGATGCGTGTGCATAAATGGATACGAAGGGAGAGAGGGGGGGGAGAGGGGGAGGTAGGGCCGCTTGGACGAAATTGGATAAAAGTTTCGATGGAATTTCCATCGAAAGTTCGCCGATAGATACATCATAGGCGGATTGTTTACGGACACTGGGCGAAACAAGGGGCTCGAATTTTCCATAAAGCGCCGTAAATCGAAGGGAGGGGGCAAGTTTTTGCTACGATACGATACGGCGACCTCCCCTCGGGAGAAGAATCCAATCCCGTTCTCGTGGTTCGAACAAATCAAAGAGATATTTCGACGTGCGCGCGAATATTTTTCGATCCCCTGTTTTCATCGGAATACCCTTCTTTTTTTATTATTTTTTTATTTTTGCGCACGATGTTCCGCTTTCTTTGTCTTGTCTCGTCGCTCTTTTTTTCGTCGTACGTGGAAACCATTAATCCAGTATAAAATTCAATGTTTAAAATTTCCTATCGTGAGTAGTTTCTTGTACTTCTTGTACTTGTACTGAGATTGGAAGTTACGCGTGGGAAGATAACGGTCCGCGAAGTCGATGACCGGATGAAATTTCGAATCCAACACGTTCGTGGATTTCAATTTTTCTCGACGATGAATCGTAGCGGAGATCGTGACCTGGTTGAACGATCGAAAGGTTCGAAAATGCTTCAGAAAAACTTCAGAAGTTGTAATAAAAATACGAAACTTAGACTCGATAACGAGTTCCATTGTCGTTGATATCATCGAAATATAACGACAAGGTAACGCTTGAATTCAATCTGCTCCTTCTAACCGTGTCAAGTGTCAAGTTTGCGCTCGACGACACTTTGAAATGGAAATAATATAAACTTCTCCTCGATAATATAAATAATACTAATAAAGCGTGATAATTGCAGACCTATATTCGTACAACATTCGTTTCTATTCAATCCTAGAACATACTGGTGATCGTTTAATCCAGGGACACCCTGTATATAACTTTACATGGAATGAAAACACTGTTGTCAACAAAAGAAATTTCATCGATCGAAAGTCTGCGAAACCAATAAACCATAAATTTAAACATCGTAATTTTATTAAAAATGCATTATAAAAATATGCTGAGATGTTCAGTAGTGTTGATTTTAATATAATCAAAATCAGGTTCAAAATGATGAACGGTAAACAACATATAAACTGTACATATAACGTATATATAGAGGCGGAACAGGATCGAGATAAAGAGGGCAACGGTGACGAGGGTTGAGAAACGAACAGGCGGAGAGAAAGAAGCGATGTATCGGGTGTAAATTCATTCATGGAAAAGAAACCAGTCAGACAGAGGAAAGAGAGAGAGAGAGAGAGAGAGTTGCATGCACGCTTGGGCCATGGACGTCCGCCCACGGTTTCTCGCTCGCCATTCACGAGTGGCGGAGCGCGTGAATGAAAACGCGGTTGCGTAGGTCCGAGTGCGTGCGTGTGCACGTGTTGTCAAGCCTTCGAACACGCGCGCCGATGTATGTATTCGAAAGCCTCTCCACGCTTGCTTTCGATTTCGAGCCCGAGAAAGGAATAATGGAATGCGCCGAGTCCACGGGCGAGTTTCTTCCTCCTCCTCCTCCTCTTCCGAGTTTCGTCTCGAGGGAGGGAGAATTTATTACTGGACTGTTGCTCCTCTTTATCGCTTATTTATCGATTTTCAATTTAATTATCGAAAAGAAACTCGCGACGGAATACCTGCGCGACACAGAAATCTTTTCCTTCCCTCCTTATTTCCCTGAAAAAATTTCCATTCCTTGATCGATCCACGAAATATATATATATATATCATAATTATTTTCCAAACACTTTTCAATCTGCCTTCACAGAAAGCCTCTTAACTTATCTCCTCAAAGTCTTCTTCCATTCAATTCACCCTCGAGCATCAAACCCTCTTAAACCTTTCCCCTTCGATTCAAAATAGCATCCAAAATTCTCGAATCAACGCAAACATAAACCACAACTATCTCCAACCAACACATCACCTCCATTCGTAAGAAAAACTTTTCGAGTCATGAAAAATTTCCGAATCGACTCGAAACAAGTACGCTGCAACATCAAACACACCTCCGCCACTTCCTGTTCCAAAACCAACCCCCACAAGATCCCGCGCAGATAAACAACCTACAAAAACGCACGCATACACATACACGCACATACATACACACAGATATATACACACACACACACGCATCGAGAATCGCAACACGATTCGGTTTCTCCGCTCATTGTTCGAGTTCCCGGTTTCCGTGGAACGGGTTTTCGTGCTTAAAAAAAAAAAAAAAAGAAGAGACCCACCAGGCCCTGACAAGCAACGACACGAGATATTTGCATATCCGCTGTCAACTCTCGTCACGCTGGCGAGCAATAAGCGGCAAGGTCATTCACACTGGCGCGCCGTTTGTTCAATGAGTCCCCCTCCCTCCCTCCCTCCCTATCCTCCTCTTCCACTCGTTTAATCCTACGCTGTCAGCTGTCGAAGACGCGTGCTCCTTTTACCGAAGAAGAATCGTCATTGTTTCCGCTGCCACGGTGGTGTAACGGCCTGCGCCAGAGAATTCGTTTCGCATTGTTCGATGTCCAATCACGTAACGATGATTTTGCCGCCGGTTTCATGCCTGGTTTAACGTGAATGTCCCGCGCGCGTTTTTATTACAGCGCGTAATACGCGGGAGGGGGAAGGGGAGGGGGAAAGAAGGAGGAGGAGGAGGAGGATGGGAGGGCGAAAAATGGTAATTGCGCTTGTGAATGAGAGTCGGATAGAGAGAGAGAGAGAGAGAGAGAGAGAGAGAGAGGAAGGGAGGGTGATTGGCTTCGGCCTTAGTGAGCGGAGATGCACGTGAAAAACACGTTTCTGGTGGAGCTGAATGCTTTTGATGGAGTTTTCTTTTTCTTTTTCTTTCTTTCTTTTTTTTTTTTTTTCGTCGACGAGAGAAATATTCCTCGTTGATTGTATGTTAGGAGATTCTTTCTTTTAGTTCTTTATTTTAGTGATTGAGATTGGATTTTTGAAATGTGATTATCGTCTCATCCTATGTTGTGCAGGATAGGAGAAGTTTATCTCGATAAAGAAAAGTTCGTAAATAAGAATTCGATTGATGTTATTCTTAACTTTTAGCTCGAGTAGAAAATTTTGTATTCAATACGTAACTCTCTAGCTTTTCGTACAGCATGGTTTGACGCTGCAACGATTCAGATGATAAGAACGATTCGACTTCGCTCGTCATCTAGGCGAAAAAAAAAGAAAAATGAAATTCAGTTAAATGAAGTTCTACCTGCATTGTATTTGAAAAAAAGCAATATATTTTACGCCACGTAAAAAAAAAAAAAAAAAAAAAAAAACGTATATTTTTCAAAGGCAAGGAGGAAAGTAAGAAAGATAAAATTGCTCGTTAAAAAAGACAAAAGACAAAAGAGCCGGGCATAATAGAAGCGAAAAAAGAATGCGATTTTCATCACTCCGTCAACATATCCGAGAACAAAATACAAAAAGAACGAAATAAATCCTAAATCGCTTAGAGCGATATGCATATT